GAACGAAGCAAGATAGCGACAAGCGGTAAACGGCATCGGATACGCACGGCCAAGATCTACAATTTTTACTAAGGTCATTTTCAGGTCAGGTCAAAGATGACGTCACAGGGGTCGAAAAAGTCAAAATGGCGGTGCTAGATATGGAGAGAGTTTTTCTCGAATAACTTTCGAATTAGTCAAGATAGGAACAAACTAAGGGCATCATCGTGATCCTCTCGTCAATCCGCATCGAATGATATATATGTTGACCTCGAAAGGTCAAGGTCAAAGGTTGACCTCAGGTCACGTGACCTCGAGGTCATCATGTATATCATTCGATGCGTCTTGACGAGCTGAACACAATGAGACCATCCACGCGTCTGTATCTTGTTCTTGTACGGAGTTATTAGCCAAAAACCTTTGGTGACCTTTGATGACGTCACACGACCTCACAGCTGCCCAACAGCAAAACAGACCTCAAGGTAGTGAAGGTTGATCGTATATGAAGTCATGTATGGTATATGGGGCCATTCCGACCCGTTTTAGTGGTAAAAACAGGGAGTTGATTTTTCCCCCATTGACTTATAATGGGGAGGTCGCAAAATTGACCTGACCTTAGGTCACCGATATCAAAATTCCGAGATATACAAATTGTAGCTACTAATGACCTAATAATATCCTGAGACTTTCAAAGGCCTCAGACATCTACTGTAGCTCTGGCACGGTGACAAAGTTGCAAAAAAGTGACTTGAGGTTGGGTCATTCAAAGTGACCTGGTGACCTGACCTTAAAAGGTAGGAGGTTCAAACTTGCACACCATGTGTAAAATTAATGAGGTTATACTCATACCAAATTTCGCGGCGCTACGCGCCGCGGTTTTCCCGCTATTCGCGAAAAACCTCAGGGGGGGGGGCGGATATCCGCCCCCCCGTCGGTGCGCGGGTTAATATTGTGTGCCATCGAAATTAATTGGTAAACGGTGTAAATAACTGCATAAGTCTTTTCCATTTGCCATGAATAAATTAGTTTCGATGGTGTGAACTGTGAAGCACCTTCCTTGAGCACAGCCCTCCTTTCGGCCTACACAATATGCTTTTAGTCACTCAAAGGTGGACGACACGTATTTGAAGGAGTGTCGCCTGCTGGGTTTTATAATATTAGCATCCTCTCTGCGCAGTGCGCACTATCGTCTGTTTTGACTCACCTCGGTCTCTCAGAGTTAGAGGTAGGTCAACCCCGGACCCGCACGGGGCAGGTCTACCCGGACCCGCCAGTGACCAGACCGGTCGGAGGCTCATTGTTAGTCCGGTCTTGGGTCCGGCTTGGACTGACCAAACATATTACGCACTCTTTTTACTACGCAGCATGACTCACTATACCCGTGAGACGGGACGAGACACAGACGCACGTCCTCTTCGATCTCATCCGGTCACCGATACCCACATCCTTGCAAAGCCACGGGTACGTTCCTGAAGTCCGTACCGCCCTGCACCATTGCCGGGAGCCGCTGCGTGCCGGCCCCGGTATTTCTCCGAACTGGCCTCGGGCCGTCCTGCCCTGTGGTCAGATGACTCATTTGCTATCACCCGCGGCGGCAGCGAGTCAGATTTGACACGATCGGCTGTAATGAGCCAGTGAGCTGTGAGTATGTGAATTTCCTCGCGTTTTAGAGCGTTTGCGGGTGCATATGGCACGCGCCGGAATCAGGGCGGGCGCCGCGTGCCGCCGCCGGCGCTGCAGACCCTGTGATTTGCACGTCCGGTGTCCTACACTTTGGGCTGGCCCAGATTTTGCAGGCCGATGTCACTGTCAGTTGTCGGCCACAAATATATAGCAGAACTGTGCCATCATTTGGACCGCACAGAATAAAGTGTTGTAGTGGGATGGGTGCGCAGCCACCTGTTGTCAGGCTAGTTCTTTCAGCATTTGTTTCCATGATTTGCTATATGGACCATGAAGTAGGAGTGTTGACCTAGTGATGTGGTCGCCTTGGCGCATTTATGTCCATTGAGAGTTTGTATTTGTTTTGTTGGGTTAGCCTCTTTCGGCCTGACGAGACCAACCATTTGAGTGAATGGTCTTCCATACTCAACCATATTTTAGTGAATGGTCTCCCTGTAGTCTGCCTACGTATGGCTATTGGCTAGTCGCTGAACGGGTCATGAAGGTCACGTAACCCCTACACGTGACCCGTGTGCCACGTGACGGGAGAACCGCTCACGTACGGCCGCGACACGTGGTGGAGCTCTGGCACGTAGCGCGTGACCTGTGACCGCTGGGGTCAGTGGACCTCACGCGCCGGGGACACATGTGTCGAGAGAGGGGAGGGTCATCATGGGCTGTGGTGGATCAAGAGGTATCCGTAATCCAGCACATAACGACACAAGTCATTTGCGATGGCGCTGATTGGATATCCGATACTAGCCTGTCTGGCCCTGTGGCTTTGCATGTCGCCCGCGGCTCTATGGCTGCGTCATAGTCGACTGAACTAAAAACCGCCGGTGTATTCTGACTGTATCACCGGCGCACCGTCTGTCTGCCTGTGGTGTTTGTCTATGTGGCCTTCGGACCAAACTAATAGGCTGCCGGGCCGTCCGCTTCCTCTCGCTACCGACAGACGAGGCGAGTATCATTCATTGCTGCCCTTGCCACCTCCCCGTTCAGAGTGAGGACATGCGTAGTGGCTCGATGGAATCGGCCGAAAATGTGGAGACGGCGAAAAAATGACTGGAAAGTTGGATGGTGTATTCGGATGAGCGGCCCTCTGTGCGCCGCGCCGGGTCGGAAGCTCTGCTGACCTCGCTGGGAGAGCCGAGGTCGGTGGCAGTCCGGCCGGCGGATGGCAGCCGGCCTTTTTGTCCGGCCGGCTGCTGATCTGTTGTCGCCCTCTGTGTTGATGATACGGGCTGTGGCCCTGGTGGAGAAGTGGGCTGGGCAGAACAGGCGGGCGGGCAGCAGGGCGGCCAAAACCGACTGGGCTTGCGATATTGGGTGTAAGTGAATGTGGGTGATTAACGGTGGCCTCAGGCCTGCGTCGGATGGGTCACAAATTGTTCGTCACTGGATTGATATTCAGAGCCATGCTCCTGCCTTGACATTTTCTATGATTTCTGTTAAGGCTTTTGACGTTTCTCTCAAGTCGACTTCTTATTTAATCCCATCTACTAGTGCCACTTCAAAGGTCAAGCACATGTTTGGCCTTTGATGGCTTATCACTGTTGGCTGAGCACGGGCATTGTGCAGTGCTGTCGCAAGCCCCAGTCTCCAGTCGCAGAGGCGGACTCTCCCCGTCCCCGCCCGCGTTGGCGACTTACGGGGCGGCGGCTCGCTTTCGTGGTGTGATAATATTTAATAACGCCCCAGGGTCGTCACGATTGAGCCCCGCATCACACTACCGTCGCATCTCCGCCTCACGCCGGGGGCATGGGCGGGATGCGAAGGATGCACTCAACAACGATGAGGACAATCGAAAGTGTTGGTGTTGGGGTCCCTACCAGCAGTGACCATATGGCCAACCGGAAACAGCTTCTGGGCGACTGAATGACATGCCTTTTTCTTTGATCTTATGCCGTGTGTTCCTCATTGCCAGCCCTTCACATCATCGTCACGTCACCTTCACGTCATATCGAGATTTGTGTGACCACTTGACTCTATGCAGTACAGCTCATGCTCTTTGTGTTCCGTTTTCGCTGTGTTGACCGGTAGTTTCCCCCGTTTTGGTAGCTAAGTCACGGCCTACACAACGGTCGTGGTCGGGGAGTGATGTTGCACCCGTGGCCGCGCCCCTTCTGTTGCCAGCGCGGTCTGCTCGGCCGGTCGGCTCGACATGGGCCGTGGAGTGTGTTAAATGGAGCTCATCCGCGGTACTTACCGTGATGACACGGAACAGACACTGGCTTAGCAGATAATGCTCAGCGGCAGTGGCCGAGATTTTCGTGGACTTGAAGCGTAATGGGGCTGGAGCTGGATGGGCGCATGGGCGCATTCAGTAAGTCAGGACAAAACGGAAAAAAATGCCGAACTATTCATATCAGAACTTGGAGAACTTGAGAAGCATATAAGAATTTGAACTGGTCCGTGCTGCCCTCACTCCAGTCAAAAATCAAAATCCCTTTCGTAGCATAGATATCGTATATTCTACGACCGGCATTTTGAGTCCAGATGGCAAAGAATCTTCGTCGTACGGGTGTCGGTGAACGGAGTCTATATTTATTTGATATGCGTTGTCTTTTGCCTGACCCTTTGTTATGTGTTAAGCTCCCTCTCTTACCCCCCCCCCCCCGAGGGGTGAGGCAAATTAAGCGAGCTAGCTCGCCCATGTTCTGTCATTTCCCATGCCAATGTGTCACTGTGTCAGTATAACATATCGTCGACAGGCGGCGCGGCGCTGGCGCGCGTCCGAGACAATAGCAGCGCCGTTAGCCAGTGCCCGCCCCGTCATCACTGTCAGCCGGTGATTGGTGACACATTGTCTCTCCGAGGCGGCAGCGTACGGTGGCAAAACGGCGTACCGACCACCAACTACCTCTGCCGCGGCCGCTGCCGCCGCGCGCGTCACTCCTCGTACCCCAGACGGTCGCCGCCGCGCCGCTGCTCGTCTCTGAGACGCGTGGCGCGCCGGCGGTGTATGTAGTGTATGTGTGACGGAGCCCACAGCGTGCTCGCCATATGGTCGGCATGCGGCGGCCTCTTCGCCACCGCTTTTGAAGGGCCGGGCTGTTTTGCGGTGGCTCGTCGTCCGTGACGCTAGTGGAGCACCGCCGGACGAGTGCGTGATACGGTTTCACTTGATGTGGTGTGAATGTGGGGAGAGTGGGATATGGAGATTATGTGTTTGGAAATATTGGGGCTGTTGTTTGATTCCGCATTGTTACGTCATATCGGTATTGTGTGATAATGCGGAGCACATGTGAATAATTGACATTGACGATTGAAGCTGGCGTGCTATGACGTTTGAAATGTTCCGACCCGATGTTACTTCGCTTGACGACTAGCTGACCTGAACTGACGTCTTTCGGCAGATGCTGCGTGACCTGAGGTCGGGTGTGCGGGACGACGACAGGTCACCGAGTCGAGGTGCCACCGGCGGATCGTCGCTCTACGGCCAATCAGGTACAGCCACGTCACACCAAGGAACCAATCAGAGTCCGGGGTGAGATGGACTCGGCTCATGGCTTCTCTTATAGCGATTTATGGAGTAATCTGTGATTTTCATGATATTTTTTTTTACATCAATTCCAAGACTTTTAAAGTAAAACTCACTTTTAGAACGCAACTTATAAGCATGCTGATTTCCTACTTCTTTGTAATGAGCATCAATCGTAACGGACTTATGATCACGCTGCACGTTTTGTCGGGCATTATCATTCAGCAAACGGTCGGCACTCGGCAAACAACACGGGCATATATCAATACAGCAAGGTCATTACGATATGAGCCACCCAGTGGCTAATGAGATACGACGCTCCCGTAATACCAACAGGCCCGCCTGCCTCCCCTCGGGCGGCCGTCAGATGGTGGCTCCGGTTTCTGCCGGTCCGGTGTGGCCCATATGCGTGTGTTTGCGCGTGGTCGGCGGTGCCGGCGGCTGTCTGGCTTATGATGGATCGGGGAGCGGTGATACCCCGACCGCAGACTGTCCTGGGGAGATGGAGGGAGAGGAGAGAGAGAGAGCGGGGGAGAGGGTGGTGACGGCTCCCCTGGTGACGACAGACAGAATGGTGATGGAGCCGCACAAATGGCAGGGGTGGTGGGGGCGGATGCTCGGGTCGGAGCGGGGGTCGGATCGGGTCGGCCCGGAGGCAGCTGTGTGGGCCCGTACTCGTAGTCGCGGTGGTAACCTTTCTGGGTCGCAGCTGCGCCCTGTGTGCTGATATAGCAGCGCTGCAGGTGAACAGGAAGGACAGAGTGTTTTTGGTAGTTACCACGCCTACCACAACTGATAAAAGAGTCGCTTTTACGATCGTCCCAACTTTTTTCATTGATTGGTTTCAGAATTCAGTTCCTCACTTTATGTCGTAAAATCAGTACATGTGTCAATTGATATCCAGACCACGGAATATATAGTCTACGACATATGTCGTAGGACGTAGACTATATATTCTGTGTCCAGACTGACCAATTTGTCACTTAGATCTTGGTCTAGCACATTGATTTGTTGGATATCCACTATCCAGCCACCAAACAATATTTCTTTCGACTAGAGCCGGAGTAGTGGAGGTGACGTAAGAAAAGATGTTTTAGTTGCCCCTTCGATGACAGCGTAAACTTCCACCTCAGTCACTGTCACCTGACTCGTGCTTCCATCGGTACCACCGTCAGACCGGGTCCGTGCAACTCGCCTTGTGCCGCCTGAACTGGGGAACCCATTGGACTTGCGGTGTTACCTTGCTTGGCCCCTGTGGCCGCGCAACGAAGTTCGAACGGGCGAAATTCGAACTACTTATATGCAAACTGTTGGGATTGGCACACAGCGGATCGCCTGGCGTGCTCCCGATGATCGATATTCACTCTCCCGGATCTGGATGTGAGATGCGAAGGCCGCCGGCAGTAATTTCTGGGAGGAATGTATATTGAAAGATTCGGCGTCAGATGTTTATCGACGCGATTTTGTATTGGTTTGCACCATGTCTTGCCAAAGGAATGTTAAGGTGTGCCGTTTTCTGGAACCGGCATTCGATAATATGGTAGATGGTTTATTGGATGGACAGCTATCTTTATTGGCTTATTGTGGGTTTTGCTGCAATCTGCTCCACAATCATGCAAAAGCCAACTGGCCGAATTTTGTACAAAGAATTAGCGTCACTTTTATCTGTTGATGTTTTATGTATTGTTTTTCATTCAGGGAACCTCTCGCGAACTGTTGATTTCGAGACGTCATATCTGAACTCGTTTGCATCTAATTACAAGACAGATCACCGACTCCCGATAAGATATTTCAACAGATCCCTCCCATCTGCGAAATGCGTGCCAACAGACACACTTTCCACCCTGTACTGCGTTCCGGTCCATCCACTCGTGATCCCGTATTTGGGTTACACAGGCGCACAGGTCGAGACCCAGACCCGAGCTCGGCGTGTCCCACAGAGGTTCGTCACGCTGTCACGACCCCGGGACTTGTCCCCAAAGTCGTGCCTGAGTGCCACTCACAGCCGCTGAAGACACTCCCCGCCGGCGGGACCCTGTAGCAAACGGAAGAGCGTGCGTTTGGGACAAGAGTCGTGTGAAAAGTGTCCTGACAAAACTGGATATCATGACTGACGAGGCCGATTCACACCAGAGTTTTGTGGCTCATCCAGGATGACCGTCAGGAATCGCCACGGTTGACAGAAAATCCTCGCGCATCAGCGGTTTTGTGGCGTGGTTTTTGTGGTGTTTGAATGGTTTTGTCGCTAGTTTGTGTGGTGGTAGCGGTGGGCCAACCTTGACCAAGTTTCGGACCTTATTTTTTATTGGGATTATGTGATGACCATCGGCTTCCGTATAGATACTCTTCCTGTTCTTCAATAAATAAAGATTGGGGCCATTTCAGCCATTCTTGCTTCGGTGTGTGCAGTTGCATCAGTCCGTCCATGAATGAGAGTTGGAGAGCTCATCAACGAATATGCTCCGTTTTGTCTCGAACTTGTGTGTCGGTTAACATTTTCCGTTTTTCCGAACATCTAAACCGTATTCCTCTTTAATCGCGTCTCGCCACCGAGTCGGAGCTGAAAGTCGTGGGACATTTTGTCTTATGAGCCTGTTTGAAGTATTCGAAGTGTCCGGACGTGATGTTGTTTGACCTCGCTCGAGTCTGGATGTCGTTTCCTTCTTGTCATCCTCATGCCTGTGCGTATTTTGATGCGCTATTTCAACTTGCGCTGCTTATTGAGGCATAATCATTACGCATCGGGAGCAGATGTCTCCCTCCGCCCGACTGTTCTCATTCTAGATTTCTCGGCTTGATATAGCGTCTGAATTAGCCCCGGTTGTTCTCTGCGGTAATTTCAGATAGTTACGTCCGTCGAACAATCATTTGTAACTCATGTGACTGTTGGGTGACCATTTGTAGCTGACACCCCGGGGGTACAAATTATCGTCACAGACCATAACGATGTCTGACCTAGTTTGTGAAAGTATGACTGGAACCGTGTCGTCTATGTAACTATCAGACACGTGTATCGGTGGCTGTGGGCCGGAAGGGACACCGCTCTCACCACCTCCGTCACTGACACCCCGTCCCTCCGACAGATGAGTTTTGGCGCGGCGGCGGCTCGGGCTCCGGCTCAGCAGTGGCGGTGGTGGCGCGCCCGTGGTTCGACCAGTCGCCAGACAGTGACACTGAGGAGTACCTGTTGGACAACTCGCTGAGGGACCAGCTGGTGCCGGCCAGCCCGGCGCGCTGTGACGATGACGTGGTCTCTCTGCGGACAGCCGGGGACATTAGCCTGCCGCGGTACGGCAGTCCGCCGGCAGCCGCCGCCGCCACCGCCACAGACCCCAGGTACTATCAGAACATCGGCTTTGTGATGTCGCCGGCCGGTGAGCTGCAGCGGTACTACGGCCGACCGATGGCCCCCGGTGTGGGCGGAGGGAGGCCCCCGCAGCCGGACCAGGCTGCTCTGTTGGCCGGGGTGGCCGGACTGAGTGTTCAGGGCGCGGCGACCAGCCCCACGGCGGCGGCAGCGGCAGGGGCGGCGCCCGCACAACTGGTAACGGGTGGCGGCCAGTAGCCCGGCGGCTCCGTCTCCTGCCGGTAGGAGTGTGAGCCGCGCGTGTATTTGTAGCGGGGATGGCTGTGCTTGGGGCTCCGAAGAGTGCCACGTGGCTCGTCGGCGGGGCTCTGCCGTGTGCGGGCGGACCGCCGACGCTCCCATGTCGCCGTCGACGCGCGGTGGCCCGTTCGTCCACTGTATGTGCGTGGGATGCTCTCTGCCAAACGACCGTGCTGGCAATCCCAGATCTCAGAGCGCGGTGCTGACTCGGTGACGTAGTTGCTCATGACAGACAGCGAAGGCGTGCCTGGGTGCGCGTCCCTGCGCCCACTGTCCTGGGCGAGCTCCGCCCGCCGGGCCGGGGCGTCGTGTATTGTACATAGAATGAACGGCGTGCTGCCGTCGTCCGCAGCCTGTTAGCCGGGCAGTCTGTTTTGTAGACGCCGCTGTTCGGCTCGACTGCTGTTATCTCCGCTGTATTCACGCCGTTTTTGGAGAGCTGTTGGTGAACATTGTGCTGGGGAAGTGTTATTCGCTCTGTTCAGAGAACGCTAGGCACGCGCGTTATGTATTAGTTTGCAATTTCTCCATGACATGTTTGGCTCCTATGGCTTCAGGAGCGAATACCTCATCTGGTCCACACCAGATCACACTCTAAGTCCCGCTAACCTGGTACAAATGTCTTTATGCACGATTCTTCACTGACTCCGAATCTCAACTCCCAGTGCTAATGATTTCATTTGGCTCATGAGTGTAAACGAATATGCAAAAAAGTGTAATAATCTCAACTGCTTGTTCCGTCCTGAATTGAAAACGTCCACAGCAAGATCCATCCATAATACTTCATAATGAGCATAAAACGTCTCCATTTCGACCACTTTGCATAAACTCACTCCATACAATATATGCCAAAGGTGAAGCAACACCCTCCCTATTTCATCCGTCCTGTCTCTGGCCTTTCTCACTCTCTCCATAGCCTGCCTTCCATTTAATCTCCGTAACGCTATCGTCGGTCGTCCCGACTGCCCTCTGGCCCGACCTGACCTGACCTGACCTGACCTGACCCCACCGTCTCACCGACGACACTCCACAGTACAACGATTCGCGCCGGCGTGGGTCGGCCGCCGCCTCGTGCGGGACAGAATATGCGGTGCTTATTTTTATACCGGTGTGTGTACGACGTTGTGCGTGTGTGTCGTGCTCGTGGGATCGCGGCCGCCGCCGTCGTGTGTGGCCCACCCGCGGCGCACTGTGGCGAGTGGTGTCCCCTGGGACAGACCGGAGCCTGGTGCTGCCCGGTGGGGCCCAGATTGTACCTGTGACTGCGCCCATCGCCGGCCAGTCCTAAATAAAGACCGCAGCTGCCGCTGGTGTGTGCTGGATGAGATGCGGGGTGAGGCTGGTTGGGTGATTTGAAAGGTGAAAGACGGAAAGGTCAAAGGAAGGGCTTCGTAGCTGAGTGAGACTGGGTACCTTGGTGCTGGTTCAATGGCGTCAAATGCAGAACTGGCACAGATTATTTATCGATCGTTTGATAGGAGCGTGACTTATTAGATGTTGAAACGGCAGAATACGCCTGAAATGGTCAGGAATTGCAGGCCAGGGTCGTGCTCGTGTTGAATTGGCTTCGTCTCTGCCTCACGACAGTGGAACGCCTCACGCCTGGCGCCGAATATCTCGTATATGAAATTTGGAGGTGATTTATTCCGGTGACGAACCTACAAACTTCGCGATATTCTTCCCTGCAAATGGTGATGACTCATTTTCAGACAATTTTTACGCAGAGCCAAGTTAAAATATTTACCCCATTACGTCGCTCGCTGCATTTCTTGCTAAGTGTAATGTTCCTTCTGCTCCGTTCTGCAGTTCTGCTCCAAGTGAGTGAAGGTTATGCTCGAATGTCAAGCACAACTGGAGTGAGCCGGTCCAGACTCGTCTCCTGCCGCTCCCGACATACTGTGGAAAATTATGATTATAAGGAACAGAAGCCTTAGGAACATATAGTAGGTATTTGGGTCTTTGATTAATGGGTCATCTGCAACGACACTTTGAAGAGAGAGGATTAGTTAGTGCTACGCATTTGTTTCTTGTATTCGTTTGCATCAAGCGCGACAGATACCTATACTGAAACGTAAAAAAGGTGCCGAGCAACAGCATGCGCCACAAACCCTCATTCCCCATATTTCCTGCAATTTTAAAAGCAAATCGTTCTCTCGGAGCCACGAGTAGGTAAGATCTCGTCATAGGTACCTATCATATTTTGATTCATCTCTGGTTGAAGGCGTTTGGTCGTCGGTTTTGCCGTATGGCGACACTGAAGCATTATGTATTTATAGTCATCGTGGCATTATGTATGTGCACTTGCAGCCTGTTCCGCTAGGTCTACCTCGAGACGAGATTTGTGTATTAGTCTGTTGGGCCAAGTAGCTTACGGCTGTGTAGTGCGGTGCAGTATAATTACAGGGATGTAATGCGGCGCAGCATCTGGTAGTGCTCTGCGACAGAGGAAACCTGCTCGCCCTCTTTAGTACACAAGAAGAAACCGAGTCTTGTGCTGAGGAACATTGTCACTCGTTTGACGGTGACAAAATTTTTATCGGGGTGCATCTCACATTCGGTGTGATAGCGTTAATCCTTCACGGGCATAGGCGGCGGAACGGGGGGGGCACCGGGGCACCGTGCCCCCCCTTGGATTCTGCAAGGGGGCACCAATAGCAAGGTGCCCCCCCTTAAATTTGATGTATTAGTACCAGGGGCGGATTCGGGAAAACTCGGGAAATTCGGGAAAGGGGAGGTTCATGAATCGAAGTGGTGCCCCTACCTAGTACCTATGCCCAAAATTAAAACCTCAACGGATTTCGCCCACTTAATTTTGGTGGTGCCCTATTTTCAGTTTTTTTTGCTTTATTTTTGGTTAGTCATGTGATGACTGGTGCCCCTGCTAAGCCGCTGGTGCCCCTGGAAAGACTGTGGTACCTACCTACCCTGCCCCCTGACAAGCCTACGGTGGGCCCTGACATGACTTAGGTGCCCATGGGCCCTGACAGGCCCGTGGTGCCCCTGACAGGCCTGTGGTGTCCTTGCTAGGCATGTGGTGTCCCTGGGCCTTGGCAGGTTTGTGGTGCCCCTGTTAGAACGTAGGTGCCCTTGACAGGTTTGTGGTGCCTCTGACAATCCTAAATTGCCAACGACAGGCTTGTGGTGCCCTTGACAGGCCCATGGTGCCCTTGAGAAGCCGGTGGTTCCCCTGCGAAGCCGATAGTGTCCCTGACAGGCCTCTGGTGCCCCTGGCAGGTCTGTGGTGCCCCTGGAAGACCTGTAGTGCTTTTGCTAGGCCGATGGTGCTCCTGACAGGCCTGTGGTGCCACTGACAGGCCCGTGGTGCCCCTGCTAGGCCTTTGGCACCCCTGGCGGGCCTGTGGTGCCCCTGTCGGCTGTCAGGCCTGTGGTGCTCCTGGCAGGCATGTGGTGACCCCAGGCCCTAAGTCATGACACATGTGACCTCCACCCTGGGATTCGCCACTGATTAGTACTGCGATGGCTTCTTGGGAATTATACATGTAGGATAAATGGAATTTATCAAACGACAATAAGGAAGAGACAAACACATAGGTACTTGAGGATCAGCTTAAAGTTAACCACACATACGGGCAGGGGTGTAATTTTCCTAAAATGATTGTGGGTGCCCAGCTGTAGGGGCGCCCGGCGCCAGGCCGTTTTGGGGCGTGATAGATATTCTTTATGTGGGAGCCTAAATTAACACCGAATTTGATAACATTGCTAGCCGAATGGCGCTTCAAGTGACGTGTCTGACTAAGCAAATACACGCTTAAAAGTGGAAACTGACCGGAAGGACGTAAAAAATATGTAGAGAGGCGCCATCCAGTAGGAGGGGCACCAAATGTGGAGGCGCCAGACGGTTACGACTTACGAGGGCGCCGTGAGACGATGAAAAGGGCGCCATTCTCTTAGGAGGGCGCCGAGTGATTGAAAACGCTATGTGGTCTAGGGGCGCTAAGAGGCCAGAAGGGCGCCGCACAGTCAGTAGTGCTACGTTGGTGGGGACGTGGGGGCGCCAGATGGTTACGAGGGCGCCTTGAGATCATGAAAAGGGCGCCATTCTCGTAAAAGGGTGCCGAGTGATTGAAAACGCTATATGTGGTTCAGGGGCGCTGAGAGGCCAGAAGGGCGCCGAATAGTCGAGGGATGCACGGTGAACAGAGACCTAAGGACGCGAGACGGTCAGGAGGGCGCCGTTAGACCATGAGAATGGCGCGGTGCTGTCAAAAGTGCGCCATTCTCCCAGAAGGGCGCCGAGTGATGATTAAAAACGCTATCCATGCTCGGGGTTACATGAGCAGAGTTAATACGCATTACAAACGGACTACAATGGTGAGCGAATAGGAAAATCCGTTCCTGATACGCATTTACTTGCTCATGTAACCCCGGTACATGAACGCGAGACGGTTAGGAGGACGCCGTTAGAGCATGCGAAGGGCACCGTGCTCTCGAAAGGACGCTTGCAGCCTTGTAAAAGACTTGTGGGTGCTTTTTCATCATTGTGGGGGCATAATTCAGGATTGTGGGTGCATATGCCCCCACAAAGAGATATAAAATTAGGTACACCCCTGCATACGGGGGTGAACTGCAATTTTCGTTTAGTAAAAAAAAAAAAAATCATCGTGTCAGGGCTGTGACGAAAAATAAGTGGCCTAAATCCGATGAGAAAACAGGATTTGGGGGTACCCTAGGTTTGGCTCCTTGAGCCATGGTGCCCCCCCTTGTCTCAAATCGTTCCGCCGCCTATGTTCACGGGGCGTGTCCGTTTTCACGTTTTCCTTCATCTGGCCGACTGCACTGAAGCGTGCGCCCGACGCGATGCTATCAGCAGATGGGAATATCCCTCAGACGTTGCTGTCTCACACCTGCCACTCGGACGGTCTCCGTGCTGTCTTCAGGCGCCGGCTGGGACTACGCCACACTTCCGGGGCAATATTTACCCTATGTCTTCTGCCGGGGGGTGAGGGGGATCGGCTGTGTCCCATCAGAGGCGGTCCTGTTTGTACATTCATCTCGCCGTGTGCCCCGCCCCTTCCCTCTCCCGTCCCCGCCGCACTCACAAATGTGCGTGTTTATTCTGAACATAAACACGCGGATTAGCACTCGCGTTCGGTCCTTTTCTCGCCAGACACGCGCTCTTGTTCAAGCGCCGTGTATCGAGGGAGATATCGCGTCGAGCTCGAGCACTTTTCGCCTTGATGCTAATTCTCCAATCTCTCTTTCCAAGTTCGAGCCGTGCGCTGCGGTTGTGCTGCGCCGTCTCTTGCAAACACGCATTACGGGGTTATCCGTGTGCGGTTTTTGCGCTGCGGTGCCGTGTCAATAACGCTGTGCTCCCTCCGTCACCGACACCGCGGCCGGCTGTGACCTTGGTGATGACATTGCTCAGTTCCCGGCGCCCGGCCCGCCCGGCCTGCCACCTGAGCCCCGGCTGGCGGGCGCAGCTGCTGGTGGCTCCCCGAGCTGTATGTACCGGCGCCGAGCGCGGTGGGTTTCCCAGGCCACAACTGACGTCGCCGCGGCCCGGGTCGCGAGGCGAACAACAACCAACAGCACGTGCCAGGCGGACGGGTGCCGACAGAGAACGTGCAAAGTGCGACTACTTGAGGCAGGAGTCTCTAATCAAAATAATTGACGGATGGTCTGAGCATAGGATTGGCAGCATTTGATTACGTGTTACATAATTTGGCTTAGGGAATCCCGGCCGCACTGTTCCCAATTCATCACGATTTTATACATTTTCGTGCGTTCTTTTGCGTTATAAAAGGATTTAGATAGATTGACCGTCATTTACGCGCTATTTCTCGGTTTGCATTGCACATCGTTATTCGCCACAAACATTTCCTTGGTTAAGTTTGTTTCCTAATTTTTTTACAGGAACCAGACATGAAATGTCTGGCGACATAGGCGTAGGAACAGGGGGGGCCAGGTGGGCAAGTGCCCACCCACTTTTCGAGGTGGGGGGCCAACCATGTGTTTTGGCCCACCCACTTTTTACTCAAGGCCCCTTGTCTCGATTTGATAGGACGTCGTCACCTTCCAGAATAAACAAACTCGGTAAAAATAAGTTCCACGAATCCCCACGCACGGACTCTCAAGGGGCAGTGATGGATCCAAGGAGGCCCTCTGTACGAGTACATACTTGTCAGTCGAAGCCCCTGAGACTGATGGCCTGAGAGACCCTAGTGGATCTGAGGAGGCCCCAATATCCACACTGGTCTGGGGAGGCCCCTGACACTGGCGGTCTGGGAGGCCCCTCTATCCATACTAGTCAGAGGTCTGAGACTGGTGGTCTGGGAGGCCCCT